ACTACAATCGTTATTTTGTAGTTTATTGTTTACAAGAGGATTTTTGTACATTTTCTCAAACCCACAGTGTGAAGCAGGTAAGGAAGATACTACTTTTACTTTACTGATGAGGAAAGAAGATTAGATTAGATTAATGAAGATTAGATTAATGTGTCCAAGTTCTCTTGTGAATGCTAAATTGCTTCAGTCATGTCTGACTCTTTGTGACCCCATGAACTGTAGCCTGTCAGGTTCCTCTGTCCATAGGATTCTCCAGGCAAAAATACTAGAATGGACTGCCATGCCCTTCTCCAGGGGATCTTCCCGACCCAGGGATTGAACCTGGCTCTCTTCGTCTCCTGCACTGGAAGGCAGGTTTTTTTTTTTTTTTTTTTACCACTAGTGCCACCTGACTAGTGAATAATACTGAAAATAATAATATTTCTCTTAAAAATTAATAAGCAGTTAAATTTTCTTCTGAAACAAAATATAAGATTTTTATTTTCCCTGAATCACTTCTTAGGAAAACTTTCTTCTGTTAGCCTCTGTGAAGGGTAGGGGGTGAGGCAGAAAAAAATGTAAGTGTTTTTCAGGACATTCAGTATTCATTTTTAATCAAAGCAAAATGTTCAGTAAGTTTCTACAAGTTAAGTCAAGGTCCAATGAACTTAAAGATATAGTATGAGGAAACTTTCTTTAACTTACACAATCACCACAATGATACTATCACCTGGCTATTTTTATTACTTTAACTACTATAATAAACAGTAGAAAAATCTAAAGTGCAGCTGTAGGATTTAACACGTAAATGTGTGATTATTATTGAATGTCAAGATAAGATTGGCCCAGGTTGTCATTACTAAAACTAGTAAGTTTTGTCTTTAAAAGCATGGAACAGAGAGGGTATTTGCTCCAATTGCTCTGAATGCCTTCACTTCTGCTTCTGGAGGAATACAGCTTTCTCTTGGTGTTCAGCTTATGCTCTAATAGAAGCATGGCTTCTGGCCTCTCCATTTGTAAAGATATAAGGGCAAGAATAGGAATTTAGTTTCACTTCATTATTGTTGTTGTTTAGTTGCTCAGTTATGTCCAACTCTTTGCAACCCCAGGGACTGTAGCCTGCCAGGCCCCTCTGTCCATGGGATTTTCCAGGCAAAAATACTGGAGTGGGTTGACATTTCCTTCTCCAGAGAATTAGGTCAAATAACATCCTAGCATTCATTTCCATAACAACTCTCTGAAGAAGGGGAAGGTTTTGGGATGGCCTGATAGCAAGCAAAGCTATACTGGGTTAACACACCCAGTGTATTAACCTATACACGCTCACAACAAATTACACCTACACCAGAATGTGAAAGTGAAGGTGCTACTCACTTCAGTTGTATACAACTCTTTTGTGACCCCATGGACTGTAGACTGCCAGACTCCTCTGTTCATGGAATTCTTCAGGCAAGAATACTGGAATGGGTTGCCAACTTCTTCTCCAGGGGGTCTTTGTGACCTATGGATTGAACCTGGGGCTCCTGCATTGCAGGCCGATTCTTTACCATCTCAGCCACCAGGGAAGCTCCACATCAGAACATCAGTTCAGTTCAGTTCAGTCGCTCAGTCGTGTCCGACTCTTTGTGAGCCCGTGGCCTAGAGCACGCCAGGCCTCCCTGTCCATCACCAACTCCCACAGTTTACTCAAACTCCTGTCCTTTGAGTCAGTGATGCCATCCAACCATCTCATCCTCTGTCATCCCCTTCTCCTCCTGCCTTCTATCTTTCCCAGCATCAGGGTCTTTTCAAATGAGCCAGTTCTTCGAATCAGGTGGCCAAAGTATTGGAGTTTCATCTTCAGCATCAGTCCTTCCAATGAATATTCAGGACTGATTTCCTTTAGGATGGACTGCTTTGATCTCCTTGCAGTCCAAGGGATTCTCAAGAGTCTTCTCCAACACCACAGTTCAAAAGCATCAATTCTTCGGCACTCAGCTTTCTTTACCGTCCAACTCTCACACCCATACATGACCACTGGAAAAACCATAACTTTGACTAGACAGACCTTTAGAACATGGGGACCTACAAATACATGCAAGGGGTGAGCTGTACACCCAGAGATGTTAAGGCATTGGAGCTGTGTGTGCCTCAGAGACAAGTTATAAAGGAAAACAAAAGAGAGCAGAGTTGAAGAGAAGATAGTGTTTCTACCCATTAACTCAATATAGTACCTTTTAAAAATTGAAGCATTTCTTAAGTTTCAAAATGTGAAGGCCATATTTTAAGCTTACTGAAGAATTATTTCATAATCAGTTTATTTCCAGTAAAACATTGAAAATTGGTAAAAGATGGCTTGTGGGATATAGTTCCCTGACCAGGGATTGAACCTGGGCCCCTTGCATTAGGAGTGTGAGATCTCAGCCTCTGGACCACCAGGAAAGCCCCTTGATGTGCTTTTAATGTAATAAATTCTTTTTTAGCCTGTAGGTTAAAAATATTCTCATGTTTTAAAGTTTTATTTTCTCTCTCAATCTTTTCCAGAACTTTGCATGTGATGTGAAATAAAAATTCACTTCTTTTCTCATAAACACACACACACACACACACACAAAAGAAAACTGGCAAAAGAAAAAGTGAAAATCGCTATTTTTACAAATTTTAAAAAATCTTTTTCTGTCTTTCAAAATGTTTGTCCTAGAAACGTGCAAGTTATTTTTACTGTCCTTAAGGTTGTTCTCCAAGGACCATTTTTTCCACAATTAGAAAGCTGTGGTACATATACACCATGGAATATTACTCAGCCATTAAAAAGAATTCATTTGAATCAGTTCTAATGAGATGGATGAAACTGGAGCCCATTATACAGAGTGAAGTAAGCCAGAAAGATAAAGACCATTACAGTATACTAACACATATATATGGAATTTAGAAAGATGGTAACGATAACCCTATATGCAAAACAGAAAAAGAGACTCACATGTATAGAACAGACTTGTGGACTCTGTGGGAGAAGGCGAGGGTGGGATGTTTCAAGAGAACAGCATCGAAACATGTATATTATCTAGGGTGAAACAGATCACCAGCCCAGGTTGGGTGCATGAGACAAGTGCTCGGGCCTGGTGCACTGGGAAGACCCAGAGGGATCGGGTGGAGAGGGAGGTGGGAGGGGGGACCGGGATGGGGAATACATGTAAATCCATGGCTAATTCATTTCAATGTATGACAAAAACCACTGCAATGATGTAAAGTAATTAGCCTCCAACTAATAAAAATAAATGGAAAAAAAAAAAAAAAGAAAGCATCTTGGTTGTCTAAAGGCTTTTGAGTCATCCTAAAGCCATGGCAGAACTTGAACAGTCCTGGGAGGACATGCCTGTTTGCTCAATAGCTCAGTCCTGTCTGGCTCTTTGCCAGCCTGTGGACTGTAGCCCACCAGGCTCCTCTGTCCATGGGATTTCCCAGGCAAGAATACTGGAGTGCATTGCATTTCCTTTTCCAGGGGATCTTCCCTACCCAGGGATCAAACCTGTGTCTCTTGTGTCTCCTGCATTGGCAGGCGAATTCTTTACCAACTTTGACACCTGGGAAGTTCCCTGGCAAGACACGAAACAGAAAATGGAGGCACCTTGATTCCCATTTCAAAGCCTTTTTCATGAGACACTTTCCAATAAATTACACAGCAAACAAAATAAGAATTTCTCTGTTGGGAAACAAATACACTTGATAACATTTTTTATGAGGTTAGTAATTCTGGAAGGTTTTTTCTTCTTCAAAGGAATTCCACATCCTATAAATTTAAATTATATGCTCCTTTATCTTAAAGGGATCAGCATCCTCATAAGTGATATCACAAGGAACACAGAACCCAAGGAAGTTTGAGGATCTTGGCTCCTTTGTCAGACTGAATATCTTCAAAAATTCCTTGAAGAATAAAATCTACCAGTTCTATATATGATTTCCGTGTTACCTCTGAAATGCATAGAACATAGTTCTGAGACATTGCTCTAACTCAACTGCAAAAACAACCAAGCAAGCAAAGAAAAAACCCCAGACAAACAAAGAACTGAAACCTAGTGTGTGTGCTAAGTCACTCTAGTCGTGTCTGGCATTTCGGGACCCCGGGGACCCTAGCCTGCCAGGCTTCTCTGTCCCTGGGATTCTCCAGGCAAGAATACTGGAGTGAGTTGTCATGCTTTCCTCCAAGGGATCTTTTCCACCCAGGAATCGAACTGAGCTCTCCTTTTATCTCCTGCATTGGCAGGCTTCCCTTGTAACTCAGTCGGTAAGGAATCTGCCTGCACTGCAGGAGATCGGGGTTCGATCCCGGGGTCGGGAAGATTCTCTGGAGAAGGAAATGGCAACCCACTCCAGTATCCTTGCCTGGGGAAATCTTATGGTTGGCTGCACCCCATGGGGTCGCAAAGAGTCGGGCACGACTGAAGGAGGAACAACAAGTGCCACCTGGGAAGCCCAGTATTTCTGAGTAGTGGTTCTCAAACGTCACCACAACTTTCAACTTTAGCATCTTGTGGAGGACTTGGACACACAGACTAGGCTTCAGGTCCTGTTTGTGGCTCAATGGGGCAAGCCTATTGGGAAATTTTCACTTGTAACTAGACTTCCCAGATAGTGCTGAGGCTGCTGTTCCAGGGACCACACTCAGATCCACTGTATTGGAAATCTCTGCTGACCTGGTTCAAATCAAGACACTTGGAGGTTCTCTGTATTACTTCTGAGGAGGAGCCCCATGCACTTAGGGTCAAGTGGCACTTCGTGGACCCGATCTGGGCAGGGTTGCCTCAAGCATATTCCTTCCAGGACCTGTCGCCGATTCAGAAACAACAAAAAACCAGGTAATCGCTAGACAGCTGCTTAAGGTCAAGAGAACCTACTCGTTGAGGAATCGGAATCTAGCACGTGACCGCTGGGCGTTAACAACCGCAGAGGTCTTCCACCTCCTCCCCGATTCCCCCGGGTCCCAAGGTCCCGGGGAGTCTCCGGACAGCAAGAGTCTCCCAGACTCGTGGCTGCAACTCGCCATGGCGCGGCTGGGGGCGCTTGTCTGTTGCCTGCTGGCCGCCTGGCACTGCCGCCCGGGCCTCGGACTGCCTCTGGCTCCCGCTGGTGCTGGTCCCGCGGTGGGTGAGTCGTCGGTATCCTTTCCCTCTCTGGAGCTGCCCGCGAGCCGCGGCCAAAGCGCATGCGCGAAGCCGGGCACAGTGAGTGGGCTCAGCGGGGCGCCCGCGCCAGGCACCCGGGACCCGGGGCTGTGCCTCCCGCTGCGGGACTCGGGGAGGGCGGGGTGACGGAGGCCCCAGAGTGCCCGTTCGGCTCGGCGGGGAGATCGGGACTGGCCGGTAACAGCGGGGCGCTGCAGGGGTGCTGCTCCTGCAGTTGTTTTCACTTTGTCTCCAGATGTGTTTTGCTCCCGGGCAAAAGGAGGGAAACCCTGGGTGTCTCGAGGGGAAAAAGAACCTGGGAGCTGGATGTCCCTCATTCCCAGGGGCCCCGAGTCTGCCCTTGTGGGGCGGGGGAGCTGCCGGGTTTCAGCCGCTCAGCTGTGTACATTTCACCCGGACTCGGAGTTTATTCCGTCCTGCTCGCCAAGTTTGGTGGCCTTTTCGTCCCACTTCACCAACCTCAGCACGGTCGCAGGCACCGCGCTCCGCACTCGTTAGGCTACGTGAGAACTCTCGGGGGCTTCATTTCACTCTACCTGGACGCCCTTGGGTTCTCTGAGGGCAGGTCATTCCCCACGCCTACCCCAGTACCTGGACCGAAGTGATTCTCAAAGTGAGGTCTGGGACCAAGAGCACCAGAATCACCTAAACAGGTTAAAAGTGCAAGTTTTTAGTCACCCCTAAATCCTACTAGATCTGAAACCCCAACCATCCATCCGTGTAACAAATCCTCCAGCTGATTCTGGTAGATGCTGGAATTTGAGAGCCACTGGTCCTGAATAGGTAAAGGTTGGATGGAAGATGTTATGATGCCATATGAGCCTTCTTTGTCAGGATATCCCCACCTCCCTGACGCATTTTCAAATAGAATTGCTCAGTTATCTGGGCTTCCCAGGGGGCTCAGTGGTAGAAAATCGGCCTTCCAGTGTAGGAGACATGAGTTCAACCTTGGGTTGGGAAGATCCCGTGGAGGAGGGCATGGCAACCCTCTCCAATATTCTTGCCTGGAGAATCCTATGAGCCTGATGGGCTGCAGTTCATAGGGTCACAAAGAATTGGACACAGACTCGGCGCACAGGTGGTGGTGGCGGCCGTGTTATCTGGAGGAGGGGGAAATGAGCAAGGTGGAGTTATTTTTATGTTTTGTGGTTTGGGCATAGCTGTCTCTGAAACAGCGCAGTGCTGACTGCTGAGACAGCTTATCTTTCTCACTTTACTTTCTCACATGCCTTCTATTTGTCCAAGAGCCAAGTGCTCATGACTCAGCTGCTCACGACTCATTTGAAAGCTAGAACTGTCAGTCTGGTTTCCCAACTGTCAGTTGTAACAAAAAATTGTCCCCAAATACTTACATATGCTGGTTTCTGCTTTCATTAAAGCTGTTTTTCTTCAATTATGTGGCTGTTTAGGATTCTGAGATAAAATGTCCTAGGTTGCCGGAGGCCAGCCCTTGGCCAATTCACCTTTTGGTTTTAAGGGTCTGATTGCTGAAGGCCTCCATGACAGATTTCTGTGGTCTGGTGAATCTCCACAGCTCCCTGTTTCTGTAAGGAAGCTACTCAGAGTTGTCGCCTGGGGAAGAGAGAGGGAGAGGGGGAACCAGGGTTCAAACTCCCAATATACATTTGGGAGAATCTTTTTAAAGATTTAGTCACTAAGTCATGTTTGACTCTTTGAGACCTCATGGACTGTGTGTAGCCCGCCAGGCTCTTCTGTCCAGGGGATTTTTCAGGCAAGAATACTGGAATGGGTTGCTATTTCCTTCTCCAGGGATCTTCCTGACCCAGGAATCAAACCTGTGTCACCTGCACTGCAGGTGGATTCTTTAACACTGAGACACGTGAGATTTCCCTATTTGCCAAACAAGATGTGATAATTGAGTAGTGAAAAGCATGTTGGACTATGAACCGGAGAATTTGGGTTGAAGTGTGGGCTCTGCCACAGGCCAGGTCTATAGCCTTGGACACACACACACACACAAACAGTATTTTGTGTAAATTTCATTAGAGGCAGGAGGTGAGGTCTCTAGATGTTTACTATTGATAAATCCCGGGTTAAGAACCTGTCAGGGCTCCATTCTCAGCTTCTATTTAGACACCCTTCAGTGCATCTAAATAATTACCCCTTACTTGTCTGTCTAGCTGTGCAATGGTAATGGAAAGAGTTCCAGACTGCAAGTCTGGAGAGACTGGTTCCATTTTAGCTTTCATTACTGAGTCACCATGTGATCTTGAGGAAATCCTGACTCTTCCTGTGCCTAATTAAAGAATGTTTAATTGGGGACCTAACATAGATCAGACTTATTCTAGATGCTGGGATGTATAAATCCAGGTAATAGGTTACATCAGATGAATGTCTTCAATGTGTTTCCAGGTTTGTTTCACAAAAATTTTATTTAGAAAAATTTAATATATTAGTAATTTCATGTCCCTTACTTGACACAGTATTTCTTGTAGGTATGTTGTTATCTATTTTGTATGAGGCAAGTGAGATGGAAGGACTTTTTTATTCTGAAAGGACTTTTTCATGTGGACTAACACAGTGAGGCACTGTGTGCAGTTGTTAAGAACAATGTCAACTCTGTAATCAGATTTCCAGAATTGCTGTCTTAGTTTTGTTGCATATGACATATGTGGTTTGGACTTATCTGTAAAATGAAAATAATGGTCAATAAATACATGTAAAGAATAAGAAACAGTTTTAAAGTAAGTACTCAATACATTTCCACTACTTGGAAATGAGGAAATTCAGTGTCAAATGCAAACTTGACATACAAATGAATAACAGTATAATGCTGAGCTTACCAAATGCCAGGCCTTTATTTCTACTAAGTCACTTAACCCTCATTCAGTAGACAATAATATTATTTCCATTTTACAGATGAAACAGGCCAAGATCATACAACTAGATTGGGAAGAAGAGCTTGGATTTGAAGTCAGGCAGTCTAACTCTGGAGCCCCTATTCATTTTTAATATTTATTTTTAAAATTATTTATTTATTTTGGTTACATGGCAGGGCATGTGGGATTTTTGTTCCCTAACCAGGACTTGAACCCATGCCCCCTGCTTTGGGAGCACATAGTTTTAATCACTGGACTGCCAGGGAAGTCTGTGGAGCCCCCATTCTTTTTTTTTTTTTTTTGGTGACATTAGTTTTATTTTTATTTTTATTTTATTTTTATTTTTTTTCCATTTATTTTTATTAGTTGGAGGCTAATTACTTTACAACATTGCAGTGGTTTTTGTCATACATTGAAATGAATTAGCCATGGATTTACATGTATTCCCCATCCCGGTCCCCCCTCCCACCTCCCTCTCCACCCTATCCCTCTGGGTCTTCCCAGTGCACCAGGCCCAAGCACTTGTCTCATGCACCCAACCTGGGCTGGTGATCTGTTTCACCCTAGATAATATACATGTTTCGATGCTGGAGCCCCCATTCTTAACCGTAACACTGTACTTTTCTGCTTGTAAGTTCACTACACAGATTAACATTCTTTGAATAATATATATATTTACATAAGACTAAGATGTAATGTATATTTATACCCCAAGGAACGACTGTGTCCAGGATAATTCTGAGTTATCTGCCAGTCCACTTTATGTGCTGGGTAAAGTAGGTCCAAGCTGGAAAAAAGTTGGAATACTTTCTGCATTATGGAATAAAATAAATTACTCATGGCAAAAGTTTTCAAATGAAGACTATTTGATGACTACTTTGTTCTGGATTTTTTTGTCTACCACTTCTTAGCTGTGGGCTTGAAATGTGCTATTGTAACAACATCGTGGAGAAACAACATCCTAAATATATACAATATGCCTTTTCCACATTAAATCAATTACTTTTGATTTTCTACTTTATTATCCAGCTTTGGGTTTTATTCAAGTATTTGCTCAGGTGCAAACTTAGCTTTTTATTATTTGTATAGGTAAAACTTTGTATTCTGCTCATTTTTTCCATGCTTCTGATGTGGTATGTTGCTACTGTGTCACTTCTGATGTGTTTCCTATTGTAAATTAGTCATTATCAGATTGAGCTAAAAATTCAAAGTGTGAAAAAGTCTCAATATTAAAACAATTTTTTGGTCGTATTTAAGAAAGCAGCAAAATCATTGAAGTTATATGTAAATCAATTATAAGCAAACTTGAGGGCCTTTCAAAACGGGAGTTCAGATTTTGGCTCTCCTGTTTCTTAAGATGTATATACTAGAGCAAATTTTCTAATTGACCCAGTATTAATTTCTCAACTCTAAAATAGGAACAGGGATTCCTGCTTAAGAAGTCGTTTTGAGAATGAAATCACATAGTGTATTTCAATTGTTTCCACAATATCTAGCATATGGTGAATATTTAATAAAGAGAGCTACTACTATGCTTATTAGTACTAATGTTTCCTTCAATGAAAGAATTTTTGTCAAGATGATTTCCAAGCAAGGGTGCTATCAAATGGTTCCTGGGCTTCTCTCTGAAAACCCAAATGGAAGCATCTTCTTTAAAAAATGCTTCCCTTAATATTATTAACATTTTAGACAGTGTATAATAGAAGATGTTCCTCTATTAAATTGCTTTTGAGAATCTCTAGCAATGGCTATTTTTGGCTGAAAGCTAGATTACACACTCATTTTCCATTAATGTCGAGAGGCAAGGTTTTATATGAAATTAGGAGTAAGATTTATTAGTTACACGTTCTGCAATCTCTTCCGTGGTGGCTCAGACAGTAAAGAATCTGCCTGTGATGCAGATGCCTGGGTTAGGAAGATCCCCTAGAGAAGGCAATGGGTACCCATTTCCTTACTCTTGCCTGGAGAATTCCATGGACAGAGGAGCCTGGCAGGCTACAGTCCATAGGGTGGCAAAGAGTCAGACAGGACTGAGCGACTAACATACACACATACATCTGCAGTCTCTTCACTGTGTAACCCTAACAAAACACATCATATTTTTATGCCCATTTTTCTACAAGAAGAAAATAATTTCTAAAACATTAAATTCTATAAGGAAGAAGATATGCTATTAAATACAATATATGGGATTATTATTGACTTCCCAGAAAGGGGTTTCCATGTATATCACTATGCATACTTATGTTTGTTATGTAGTCATTGTTAAGTAGTCATGCTGTCGCTGATTTCATCAATTTTGTTGTGTGCAAATAGTAGATTCTACTAAAATCTTTTTACTATCTTTAGAGTCAGTATTTCTCACAGGGAAAGAGTGTATTTAATTTCAGGGCATATAGATATTTGGGCTTCCCAGGTGGCGCTAGTAGTAAAGAATCCACCTGCCAATGTAGGAGATGCAAGTGACATGGGTTTGATCCCTGGGGTGGGAAGATCCTCTGGAGAAGGAAGTGTAAATCTACTCCAGTATTCTTTCCTGAGAAATATCATGGACAGACAAGCCAGAAGGGCTGTAGTCCCTGGGTTCACAAAAAGTTGGACAGGACTACTGAGTTACTCAGCACATGGATATTTAAATTGCTCAGGCTTTCCTGTAATGCAGGATGGAACACCTACTTAGTCTTACTGTAAATATTTGTATGGGAATTCCGAACGAGAAGTAGGTTTAACACCACTTGTTTTCTCGTCAACAGGGCAGTTTTGGCATGTGACGGACTTCCACTTAGATCCAACTTACCACATCACAGGTGACCACACAAAAGTGTGTGCTTCCTCCAAAGGTGCAAAAGCCTCAGATCCTGGTCCTTTTGGAGATGTAATGTGTGATTCTCCTTATCGCCTCATTTTTTCAGCACTTGATTTTATTAAAAATTCAGGACAAAAAGTATCTTTTATGATATGGACAGGGTGAGTGATTATATAAATATCATATAGTTACTAAGTATATATCTACAGTGTTCTAAGCTTCATTAGGATGTTGAATTTCATAAGAAAATTAATTTACATTTTAAGAATTATTGGGGCTTCAAAAATACTAGATCAAATAAGTCAGAATTATTAGGGATAAGAAAAACTTTCAAAGTCCTAGTTTTATTTATTTAGAAAATATCCTCTAGAAATATGTCCATATTAACTAAGAGATGAGTTTATAAATAGCTTTTTGTGTCATTGTCTTGAAATGTTTATTAATGTGATAATAAGTCTTGACTAAATAATCAAAAAACAAAAGTCAGCAATGGGAATTAACCCATGATAGTGATTTTACAAACATGATCTTCTGGTGGTGTAATTAACTAATTCTATTCATCATGACAAAATGAAGAGGTCTGTATTTCCTGTACCCACAATAATGATCATGGCTTTATTTTAACTTATACATTGTAACTCATTTAATCTTCACAATAGATATTGTTATTATTCTTCCCATTTTACAGATAAGAAAATTAAGGCACTGAGCATCTAGGTAACTTGTCCAAGTGCTCACAGCTATAAGAGGGCAAACCTGGCACTTTTGGCCCTGGAGTCTGTGCTTTTAATTACTAAGCATTTTTCCCTCTTATAAATCTTCAGTCAGGCAGTGAAGTAGGCCGACATTTTCAGTTTATCTTTTGTATTTCACAAGTTTTCTTTTTCTTTAGGGTTCTCAGTGGAACAAAAGTAAGTGTAGAGTAGTTGATCAGCTCTTTATCATCTGTTGATTTATGGTAGAATTCGCCAATGACAATATAGCAAAGCTTTATACAGGACTTTTTGTCCTGTATATATATATTTTTAGTATATATACATAGTGTATGTATATATATATATATATATATATCATAGTATATATATATATAGTATATATAGTGACTTTTTATAGAAATTGATTTTGTTTTCTACGATTCTGTCTTCTTTTCAGGGATAGCCCACCTCATGTTCCAGTGCTTGAACTCTCAACAGACAAAGTCATAAATGTGATTGCTAATATTACAACCACTCTCCAGCGTCTCCTTCCAAATCTCCAGGTTTTCCCTGCACTGGGTAATCATGACTATTGGCCACAGGTAAATTTGACCACAACTTCTGGAAATGCTTCAAGGATTTTTCCCATCAGTAGTGTCAAAGTTTTGCAACTGGTTGATAATAGAGCATGGGCAGGGGAGTGCACGTGGAGGTAGAGTGTGCTCTGAACACTAACCATCAAGGAAGGCAGGACACATGGTTTGGGGACTTAAAACTGACTCTAAATAGTTCATAAAAAGTTATGTCCATAGTGGGGTTTTGGAAGCAGATTACTTAGTTCATGGGTTATTAATTTGTGATTTCCTTCTTATTCTTCCTCAGTTTTTTTTTAAATTATTTTGTTCATTTTAATTTCCATGTTCAGGCTAGCCTAAAAAGGTTATTGTTGACAAATGTTTACATGTTTTAGAATTTCTATTAAGCATACTAAGCTGCTCATACTCTGATCTAAGCTGGATTGTGATTAAAAACAAAAGCATAGAGAATTATTATAAGAACCAAGAAGGGAAGTCCATGTTCAAAATATAATTCAAGGCAGAGAGTGTGTTCAGAATATTTTTAATGTCTGATACAACCTAGGCTTCAACCTCTATTAGAGTGGCTGTTTTAATAAACAGCCTGTGCATAACAGTTGGATAGCAGTTCCAGTAACAGAGATCTGCTATAGCAGTGCAGAATCTTACATTTGTTCAGAGTCAAGAGATCTTAGAGACTGTTGCAGGACTTGACAAACCAGTCCAGATGTGGCCTGACAGTTGATTTTGTAAATAAAAGTTTTATTGGGACACAGCCCTGGCTATTCTTTCTGTTTTACCTGTGGTTGCTTGTATACTGTAACAGCAGAGAATAGTTACCATATTGACTATATGACCCTGAAGCCTAAAGTATTATTATATGACCCTGTATAGAAGAAGTTTGGAGAATGCAATGGCAACCCACTCTAGTATTTTTGCCTGGAAAATCCCATGGACGGAGGAGCCTGGTAGGCGGCAGTCCTTGGGGTCGCGAAGAGTTGCATACAACCGAGTGACTTCACTTTCATTTTTCACTTTCATGCATTGAAGAAGGAAATGGCAACCCACTCCAGTGTTCTTGCCTGGAGAATCCCACGGACGGGGGAGCCTGGTGGGCTGCCATCTATGGGGTCGCAGAGTCGGACATGACTGAAGTGACTTAGCAGCAGCAGCAGAAAAAGTTTGCTGATGCTTGGTCTAGATCCACTGTTCAGTTTATAAATGAGGAAACTGAGGCCCAGAACAGTTAAGTTGCTTATTTACGTGCTCAGTCATTTAGTGGCAGAGCCCACATCCTGTATCTTTTGTGTTCAGTTAAACAAACATCCTTTCACAGGTCCTTGGCTCTTGCCAGACTAACATATCAGCATTTCCTGAACATGATGTCTACTTTCATGCCTTTCTTTGTCTACGTTTTGCTTTGTGTTTAGAATATCTTTTCCATCTCATGTCAAAAGACTGCTTAATGAGGGTCTTGATTATATTAGTTAATTAATCTAAATACTGTGACTAGGGATCGGGTGGAGAGGGAGGTGGGAGGGGGAACCGGGATGGGGAATACATGTAAATCCATGGCTAATTCATTTCAATGTATGACAAAAACCACTGCAATGTTGTAAAGTAATTAGCCTCCAACTAATAAAAATAAATGGAAAAAAAAATACTGTGACTTTGCAAGTTGCACTTTAGTATGAGCTTAAGTTTAGGGGACTTCCTGGGTCTGGCCTCCATTCTTGAGATGAATGATATGTGAGTCTTGGTGACAGTCAGCCTCTCAACTAGTGGTCAACTTTTGTTACTGTTGCATGTGAGACCACACAGCAGAGGGTTGGAGGTGGGCAATCTCCAGGAATCAGAGGTTACACATGTTGTTTATGAGCTTTAGGTGACAGACAGACTGCTGTAATAGAAAACCTGTGGGGTTTAGTGTCACATTCATTTGAATTTAAAAACCTGTCCTGCTTCTAATAGCTGAGCAACTTGACTAATGCATGTAATTATCCCTGATCATTTGTAAACAACAGTGGTAATACTTACCTTGCAAAGTTTTGAGGATGCTCCGTGGAAAGGGCGTAGTTTCCTACCTGGCATATTATAAGCCCTCAGTCAGTGGAGTGGTGGTTTTGTAGCATGAAGCAGTGACACAGGACACGTGTTTCCTAACTCCTCTGAGGATTCGTTTCATTTTACTTTTATCTCTGTCTTCTTTTTGTGAAGTCAAATCTTATAACAATTCAAAGATATAGGTGCTATCCAAGTCTAAAATATATCCTATTACATGTACAACTAAGATAGAGTGGGCAGCCTTTATACCTTAAACAACTAATTTTTTTCCTCTTTCTAGCTTGTGATCTTATATCTGAAAATCTTCTTTCTACTATTCTGCCACCTTTCCTTCCATCCCAGTTTCAGGAATGTCAAATGTAACACGAAAGCCCCACAACAAACTGACCTAGAGGCTACTCATATCTGAGATCAAATTCTGGTGAATGTTAGTAACAAATAAATTGGATGTGTTATTTCTTCCATAGACATGCATATAAACATAGCTACATAAACATACAGATACAAGTTCCCACCCATTATGTCAGAAGTAGATATTCATATGGAGAGCCCAAGGATTTCTTCCCATTGCCACTCCAGGAAGCAGCCCAGACCAGCATCCTCATGTACTCCTACACTGGCAAAGCTGGTGCCGCCAAACTTGGGTGGCGCCACTTCCTACTGTGCAATAGATAATTGGATATCAGAGTGACGGTAGAAAGACCTGGAATTTAGACCTAGCTCTGGAACTGACAAGCATCTCCCTGAATAAATCACTTACCTCTGGTGCTCATATTTCTAATGTTTAAAGTAGAGAGAAAAGTCTAGGGTAATGTTTATATAATTTTGATTCTACATGACTATACCAGTATCTTGGCATCCATCCTGAAGTAAACAAATGGCTAAAATGTTAGGTTTTTTGTGATGATGATGCTTACCAGTGTTTGATTAGGATTTAGATTGGGCAAAGCCACTGTATAACTTTCAGACAGATCACTCCGATCTCTGACACAAACTGAAAATATACTTTGAATAATTAGTTTTCAGTTAAAAGAAGTCATTTACTTATAACTTGCCCTGAATATGTTTATATTTTAATCATGTATTAGGCATATGTATTAGGAACTAATGTGACTTGAATGTCATTTTTAAAAGGGTAAAGCATTTTAATTAATGATGTCATTGAAACTCCTTTAAGAAATAGGTCTAGGTCACCAATATACAGAGGGAAATGAACAAAGTGAAGAATATGGCTTCAGTTTTTTAGTATAACTTTTTGAAAAGGAAATAGAAATAATCACTCAATTTCCCAAATGATTTCTGGGTTTTTATTCAGTATCTATTTTCTTGAAGCTTTATTTTTCTTGTCTAGAGCTTACATCGCCATAAGGGTTCTTTAATAATGATATGATGAAGTAGGATGATAAAAATACTGTATATTACAGATATAATATTTAGAAAATCAAAGTGATATGATTTAGGCTGACATAAAGGAATTGTTGTTTAGTCACTAAGCCATGTCCGACTCTTTGCGACCCCATGGACTCCAGCACGCCAGGCTTCCCTGTCCTTCACTACCTCCCAGAGTTAGCTCAAATTCATCCCATTGAGTCAGTGATGCTATTTATCTCATTCTCTGCCACTCTCTTCTCGTTTTGGCTTCAATCTTTCGCAGCATCAGGGTCTTTTCCAGTGAGTCTGCTCTTCGCATCAGGTGGCCAAAGTATTAGAGCTTCAGCTTCAACATCAGTGTTTCCAATGAATATTCAGGGTTGACATAAAGAGACTTCAAATCAAAAACATGTGGTTATAAGTCTTCTTTCAAGAAGTTAAAATGCTTTATACTAGTGTTAACATTTCAGAGGACTTTGTTTAATTCTGAAATCATGACGTTTTCCCCACTTCCTGGGCATGCTACACCAGAACTTACATTTTCAGGGGCAAACTTGCCTCCAATGTCTAGTGAGCACACTCCCACATCCATTTTGTACTCCAGTTATGCCAGAACAAGGTTTTTTTTTTCTGTATACAGCACCGTGTTGGTGTCTGGGCCATTGTTTTTGCTTTGATTCCCTTTCTTGTCAACCTGATGAAATCATTCTTCAAGGTCTGGTTCAAATGCTCTTCTCACTCTCCCTGCTGACTCTCTAGGCCAGCCTTGATTATTCTTGTTTCTCCACTCACAGGATCCTTGCCATGGTTCCTAGTGTGTTGTCTTACAGATGACTGGTTGCATTTTGTCCTCCATCTCCCCAACAAAGCCATAAATTCCTTGAAAACTTAAGTATATCTAGTATTCCTGCATCTCCAGGTGCCTCCTATAGTAGTAATCTAATCGCTCAAGTCATGTTTAAATTAATTCATCCATGTATCTTCAGAGTTTCAATGTTGGATTATATTGTTTGTGGCCAGGATCAGCTGCCTGTAGTCACCAGCAAAGTGTACAATGCGGTAGCAAACCTCTGGAAACCATGGCTGACTGAAGAAGCTATTACTACTTTAAAGAAAGGTAAGGGAAAGGTTTACTCAGCCTGGTTTTGTCTCTGTTTTTATTCAGTTGATATTGTTTAGACTTAGATATTTAGTGTTTGCTTGGGTGTGCCAGTTCTGAGGAGTCTCTGTGCCCAGTCTTCCTAGAGGCCTGAGCATGTTTGAAACCCAAGGAGCAGCATGGATGGCGAGTGGGCCGGGGTCCCAGTGGCTCACGCTGAAAGCGCCATGACGGCGGTGTTCTCTCACCACTGGTTCACAGCTGTGAGTGGGGTTATGCGTTTACGCCCAATCTCACCTGAGAGTCTAGAAGCTTTGATTTATCTGCTATTGCTTCTTCAGTGTTCTCTGGCAAGATCCACGTGTGTTCTCATTCTTTAGAGTTTAGATTTCACAGTATCTCTTACCGTAAGTCCCCAAACATACAAAAGTAGACGTTGATTTCTTAACTCTTCCTTGATAGAAATCAGTACCTCATTGCCTAGTTATCTTTTCATAAGAATGTTAAACACAACTGTTGTGACCTCAGTATGTGGAAGTAGCAGCACTGGACTTGACACAGAGTAGGTTTTCAGTAAGTGTTTGTTAAATCTGATTCTTATCCAATGGTAAGCCTATTTAAGTACAAACAAAGCAATGAGAAATAAGTATAACCTTCCAAAATGGATTGTAAACCTTAATTAAGATTTTTGCTTTCACAGTGTCTACGTATCTGTGTATTATTTTATTAATAGAATGTGTTCAAAATTTGTTTTTATAGGTGGCTTTTATACACAGAAAGTTTCAAATAATCCGAAACTTCGGATCATCAGTCTCAACACAAACTTATACTATGGCCCAAATTCCATGACCCTAAATCAAACTGATCCAGCAAATCAATTTGAATGGCTAGAAAATACACTGAACATCTCTCAGCAAAATAAAGAGAAGGTAGATGCCATAGACCAACATCACTGGGGGTGAACAGAGGGTTACACTTGTGAATTTATTAGACTTGCAAGGGGTCAGGTATTAATAAAAGTATTAAAACTTAAAGATGTTCTTGCATGAAACAGTTTATGATTTGCTCTGTTGTTGATGCTAGTTTTGTTTTATTTTGCTCTAAGGCTTGATAGATATTAAAAATTATTTTTGAGCAAGGTCACAGTTCAGTTCAGTTCAGTCACTCAGTCGTGTCCAACTCTTTGCGACCCCACGGACTGCAGCATGGTCACAGTTACCTAATATCATAATGTCCAGGGGATCTTCCCAACTCAGGGATCAAACCCACGTCTCTCATGTCTCCTACATTGGCAGGTGGGTTCTTTACCACTAGCGCCACCTGGGAAGACTATTATATCATAAACCATGCAGTTTAAATAGACAAGTATAAATTTAAGACTATTAATAGTTTCATAATTTCTCCTTTTGATAAATGAGTAGGAGAGATGGTATATTTGTCTTCTAAAATTTAATTAATGTACTTTCAATCTTGGGTATCTAAATGTCTTTTTGTTATGATAAATGTGCAGAAAGAGTCCCATCAGTCCTCTTTGTGTTTCTCTCTCCAGGTGTACATCATAGCTCATGTTCCAGTGGGGTATCTGCCTTTTGCAAGGGACATCACAGCCATCAGAAAATACCATAATGAGAAACTGATAGACATTTTTAGAAAATACAGTGACATCATTGCAGGACAATTTTATGGACATACTCACAGAGATAGTATTATGGTTCTTTCAGATAAAAAAGGTAATAGAATGTTCTGTTTGTATGTATTTTGCTATGCAAAACAGTGAATATTAACTTTTACTGATCCAGTAAATTTAAAGTTTATTAAATCTACTTGCCAGCACTAGCTTTTTCTCACTTACCTTTAGTGAATATATATATAGTCCTACAGTGTGTAGGACTATGTCTAGTCCAACTGCTGGACTTATTAACTTCCCAAAGCCATCACCATTTGATGGCTGTTGACCCAAAAGCCTCTGAAACCTTCAGCTCACTCAAATATTCTTTTAGATCTGAAAGTTTAGAGAAGCACTGCTTTTGTTCTACCTGTGAGACTCAAGTTTTTCTTTCTTTTTTTTAAATTCATTTATTTTTCATTGGAGGCTAATTACAGTATTGTGGTTTTTGCCATACTTTAAAAAAAAATTTATTTTGACCGGGCTGTCTTTGTTGCTGCCTGCGGGCTTTCTCTCGTTGTGGATAGTGGGGGCCACTCTCTAGCAGTGTGCATGCTTCTCGTTGCTGTGGCTTCTCTTGTTGGGGAGGACAGGCCCTGGGGTGTGCGGGCTTCAGCAGTTGTGGCACACAGGCTTAATGTGGGATCTTCCTGGACCAGAGATCGAACCTGTGTCCCTTGTGTTTGCAGGTGGGTGGATTCTTAACCGCTGGGCCACCAGGGAAGTCCTCAAGTTTCTTTTGCTATGATTAGTTTTCCTTAAAATTTAAAGAGCAAAGCACAGTTTACTGTGGTTTAAAGTAAAATACATTAAGCTCTTAACTTTTAAGTGGTTACCAACATGGTCATCTACTCAGCATTAAAAAAAAAAACCAAAAGGAGCAGTTGCATTAAATAAAACAATGATTATTTAGTCTTAAAGTTAATTTCTGTATGAGGGTGGAAAACTGAGAGTTAACAAAATAAAAGTTTTGATTTTTTAATAGTCAGCCAGGATAAAAATCAATATATATATATATATTTCAGTAATTGGAGAACATTTTAAAAATGTTTTGCCTTTTTCATCTAGGATGACTGGGCTTGGTAAAAATGACCATTTTTCAGCCTTTGATAGCTTTTATACTCAGAAAGAGATTTAGTTCTATAATAGATATAAAACATGGTGACACTTTAATCAAATTCTTATTACATAATTATTGGAATATTGTCATAGGTAGAGTACAAAAAACTAGCTTTGTATTTTTCATGTGTGTGTACTTGTAATAAGTTGGATATTTTTATTGTAAAAAATTTCAAACATATATAAAAGCAGAGAGAACCTCTGTATACTATCACTTATATTCAAATATCTATCAAGATTTGTTTTACCAATAATTTTTTTGAGGTATTTGAAAGTAAATGTGAAACATTAAATGTATTTCAACACTACGTGCTTCACACATTGCTAAAATATTTGGATAACAACATAATCATAATTCCATTAACTTAACTAACAGAACCAACAATAATTCTTTCAATCTCTTCATAATAAAACTTTCCCTATTTTCTTTTTTTTAAACTTTCCCTATTTCCTTAAAAGTGTCTCTTTACTGTTGTTTCAAATCAGGATCCATCAAGCATCATGCATTATTTGACCGTTACAACTGTTAACTTCTTAATCTGAAACTTTTTGTATTTTTAACATTATTAAGCTCAACTGTTAAAAATACATATATTTATGTACATATGTTTTGTCCAGGAAATCCAGTAAATTCTTTGTTCGTGGCTCCTGCTGTAACTCCAGTGAGAAGTGTTTTAGAGAAACTGACCAACAACCCTGGTGTCAGACTATTTCAGTATGATCCTCGTGATTACAAATTAATGGTAAGTTGGTGTAACTTTTAGAATTGACTTCATATTTTTGCATGTCTGTGTTGTTTTCATCACAGCTACTATAAGTTGTACTTTATGTTGAAATCTCAAGATGTCTTCTTTTTTGTGTTTTGAATGTCAGCAAACTTTTATATCAATTCAGCTTCAAAAGGGTAGGCATTTAGTTTATGAATACTGTCCCTTTCAACAAATATGTAATTTGAAAAGAATTTCTCAGTTAAAGTCTCTACTGATGTAACTGTATTTTTCTTCTAGGTAAATTTAGTCAGCAATAGTTCTATTATTCCCTGGAGCATGTTTTTACAAAGAACAATAGTGCAAGAGAAATCTGGTTTTAATCCATAAGCATTAAATTAAGAAAGATAATACAACAATTGACTGATAAGAATAGTCCAAAAGAAATTTTTTACAACTATTAGTTGCCTGTTTTTAGATCTGAAATTCATGTGTATGTGTGTACATTGACATAGAAAGATGTACTTGCTATAATACTATGTCATTTTTTAAAGTGCAAAATAGTTTGATTTCATTTTATGAAGAAATGAAAAAGATAGTAAAAAGAAATTAAATACCTATATTTCTTTTGTACATACAGTCTGGAACAGCACACATACACTGGGGTGCTGGTAAACGTTTAGTAGCTGGCTCACTGGGGTGTGGAAGGTGCTTTATTTTGTAGTGTTTGCCAATTTCCATGGCATAAATACTCCAAAAATGGCCAATTTCAAGCTGCCATAATGATATAAACTAACTTGCAAGTTTCCTGAAAATTTGACAGTCGGCGTTTGTGGGCTTGTACAAGCCACCTGCTGCATATAACTGATTATAGACAGTTGTTAGCAGGGGTTACTTTTGAGGTGTATGAACTGAAGGCTTTTTATTCTGTATATCTCTCTGTATAGTTGGATATTTTCTATTATGTTCTTTCATTATATTTTACATGAACAAAACAATATAGAGTTTCTATCGGGACTCTTTTTCCTTTAAAAGCGATTCTCAGTTTTTAAAATGACTACACTTTAAAATTAATAAGGTCACATAAATCCTAATAAGAACTCTACTTGCTATGCGGTATGTTATATGCCAAAATATGAACCAGACTTCATTACTCTTTTTAACTATTTTTTAACTATAGGATATGCTGCAGTATTACTTGAACCTGACAGATGCTAATCTAAAGGGAGAATCCAATTGGAAGGTGGAGTATAACCTGACCCAGGCCTATGACATTGAAGATTTGCAGCCAAAAAGTTTGTATAAGTTAGCTAAACAATTTGCAATCCAAGAGAGTAAACAGTTCATAAAATACTACAAATACTTCTTTGTGAGTTACGATAGCAGTGTAATTTGTCAGGGAAAATGTAAGATCTTTCAGATTTGTGCAATTATGAATCTTGATGTTATTTCTTATACAGATTGCTTGAGACAATATCATATGAAGCACAGTCTGTAATATTTCACAGTTTGTTCCCTTTGATAATGAAATGATGCTCTGCTTCTGAGATCAGTTTGTGGAAATTGTTATGCAAATCTTTGTGAGTTACTGAGTGGGCAGGAATAATTCCTGTCTTTGCTTTTTTATGATGCAAAAATGTAACAATTTTTATTATATCGAATGTATTTAAACTGCCCATTACTAGAATGATGTTTGAATGTAAATACCCTATCTTCCAGGACTTCCTAGGTGGCTCAGTGGTAAAGAACCTGCCTGCCAATGCCAATGCCAATGCAGGAGACTCAGGAGATGCAGGTTCAATCCCTGGGTCAGGAAGTTCTCCTGGAGTAGGAAATGGCAACCTGCTCCAGTATTCTTGCTTGAAAATTCCATGGACAGAGGAACTTGGTGGGCTACAGTCCATAGGGTCCCAAAGAGTGGGATACAGCTGAGCACGCACACACCCTATCTTCTAGTTTATATGATTGTACCTAATTTATACTCTTGTTGAAATTGTCATTTCTACAATAAAACAAATTATTTTTCCTTAAGTAGAATGAATTATTTTTAATATGGTAATTTTCAGTTTTTAATTCACTCTCTTGGAAACTTCATGTATAAACTCAAGTTCAAACTGTTTTAAGTATCATGAGGCTAAGCCTGTTTTTGCACTGTCTGTACTCTTGGGAAAACACCAAAGTCACATTAGAGCTGTCTCTGATTCTATGAGACGTCACGGGACAGGACTTTTACCTGTCTTCACTCTGTGAGTGAAGGAGAGCCCTTTTTAGTACTGCTAAGTTTTAAGGAAGAGCATGTTGCAGGACAATGGTTAATGAAATATTTTATCAAACTTTAAAATTTCAGAGATATTGATAATATAGATTGCTTAGAGATATATATAATAGATCCCCCCAAAGAGGTACATTGGTAAATCAAATACAAGACAGTTGGAGGTTAATGAATGAGAAAGTTGATTGGGGAGAGATATATAAGGGGGCTTAAATGCATTGGGAAAGTTTTATTTCCTAATTCAATCAGTGGCTATGTTGTTGTTAGCTCTGTTTTTTCCTTCAGTTCAGTTCAGTCGTTCAGTCATGTCAGACTCTTTGTGACCCCATGGACTGCAGCACGCCAGGCCTTCCTGTCCATCATCAACTCGCAGAGTTTACTCAGACTCATATCCATTGAGTCAGTGATGTCATCCAACCATCTCATCCTCTGTCATCCCCTTCTCCTCCGGCCTTCAATACTTTCCAGCATCAGGGTCTTTTCCACTGAGTCAGCTCTTCGAAACAGGTGGCCAAAGTATTGGAGTTTCAGCTTCAACATCAATCCTTCCAATGAATATTCAGGACTGATTTCCTTTAGGATGGACTGGTTTGATCTCCTCGTAGTCCAAGGGACTCTCAAGAGTCTTCTCCAACACCACAGTTCAAAAGCATGAATTCTTCAGCGCTCAGTTTTCTTTATTGTACAACTCTCACATCCATACATGACTACTGGAAAAACCATAGCTTTGACTAGACGGACCTTTGTTGGCAAAGTCATGTCTCTGCTTTTTAATATGCAGTCTAGGTTGGTCATAACTTTTCTTCCAAGGAGTAAGCGTCTTTTAATTTCATGGCTGCAGTCACCATCTGCAGTGATTTGGGAGCCCCCAAAAATAAAGTCTGCCACTGTTTCCACTGTTTCCCCATCTATTTGCCATGAAGTGACGGAACCAGATGATCTTAGTTTTCTGAATGGTGTGCTTTAAGCCAACTTTTTCACTCTCCTCTTTCACTTTCATCAAGAGGCTCTTTAGTTCTTCTTTGATTTCTGCCATAAGGGTGGTGTCATCTGCATATTTGAGGTTATTGATATTTCTCCTGGCAATCTTGATTCCAGCTTGTGCTTTACATAGCCCAGCATTTGTCATGATGTACTCTGCATATAAGTTAAATAAGCAGGGTGACAATATACAGGCTTGATGTACTCCTTTTCCTATTTGGAACCAGTCTGTTGTTCCATGTCCAGTTCTAACTGTTGCTTCCTGATCTGCATACAGATTTCTCAAGAGGCAGGTCAGGTGGTCTGGTATTCCCATCTCTTGAAGTATTTTCCACAGTCTGTTGTGACCCACACAGTCAAAGACTTTGGCATAGTCAATAAAGCAGAAATAGATGTTTTTCTGGAACTCTCTTCCTTTTTTGTTGATCCAACAGATGTTGGCAATTTGATCTCTGCTTCCTCTGCCTTTTCTAAATCCAACTTGAACATTTGGAAGTTCATGGTTCACATATTGCTGAAGCCTGGCTTGGAGAATTTTGAGCATTACTTTACTAGCGTGTGAGATGAGTGCAATTTGTAGTAGTTTAAGCATTCTTTGGGATTGCCTTTCTTTGGGATTGGAATGAAAACTGACCTTTTCCAGTCCTGTGGCCACTGCTGAGTTTTCCAAATTTGTTGTCATATAGAGTGCAGCACTTTCACAGCATCATCTTTTAGCATTTGAAATAGCTCAACTGGAATTCCATCACCTCCGCTAGCTTTGTTCTTAGTGATGCTTCCTAAGGACCACTTGACTTCTCATTCCAAGACGTCTGGCTCTAGGTTGGTGATCACACCAACGTGCTTATCTGGGTTGTGAAGATATTTTTTGTATAGTTCTTCTGTGTATTCTTGCTACCTCTTCTTAATATCTTCTGCTTCTGTTAGGTAGGTCCATACCATTTCTTTCCTTTATTGTGCCCATCTTTGTATGAAATGTTTCCTTGGTATCTCTAATTTTCTTGAAGAGATCTCTAGTCTTTCCCATTCTATTGTTTTCCTCTATTTCTTTGCACTAATCACTGAAGAAGGCTTTCTTATCTCTCCTTGCTATTCTTTGGACCTCTGCATCCAAATGGGTATATCTTTCCTTTTCTCCTTTGCTTTTGGCTTCTATTCTTTTCACAGCTATTTGTAAGGCTTCCTCAGACAGCCATTTTGCTTTTTTGCATTTCTTTTTCTTGGGGATAGTCTTGATCACTGTCTCCTGTACAGTGTCACAAACCTCCATCCATAGTTCTTCAGGAACTCTCTATCAGATCTAATCCCTTGAATCTATTTGTCACTTCCGCTGTATAATCATAAGGGATTTGATTTAGGTCATACCTGAATGGTCTAGTGGTTTTCCTTACTTTCTTTAAGTCTGAATTTGGCAGTAAGAAGTTCATGATCTGAGCCACAGTCAGCTCCCGGTCTTGTTTTTCCTGACTTTATAGATCTTCTCTGTCTTTGGCTGCAAAGGATATAATCAATCTGATTTCGGTATTGACCATCTGGTGGTGTCCATGTGTAGAGTCTTCTCTTGTGTTGTTGGAAGTGATGTTTGCTATGACCAGTGCGTTCTCTTGACAAAACTCTATTAGCCTTTGCCCTGCTTCATTCCGCACTCCAAGGCCAAATTTGCCTGTTACTCCAGGTGTTTCTTGACTTCCTACTTTTGCATTCCAGTCCCCTATAATGAAAAGGACATCTCTTTTGTGTGTTAGTTCTAGAAGGTCTTGTAGGTCTTCATAGAACCGTTCAACTTCAGCTTCTTCAGCATCACTGGTTGGGGCATAGACTTGGATTTGTGATATTGAATGGTTTGCCTTGGAAAACGAACAGAGATCATTCTGTCGTTTTTGAGATTGCATCCAAGTTCTGCATTTCAGACTCTTTTGTTGACTGTGATGGCTACTCCATTTCTTCTAAGGGATTCCTGCCCACAGTAGTAGATATAATGGTCATCTGAGTTACATTCACCCATTCCAGACCATTTTATTTCACTGATTCCTAGAATGTTGACATTCACTCTTGTCATCTCCTGTTTGACCATTTCCAATTTGCCTTGATTCATGGACCTAACATTCCAGGTTCCTATGCAATATTGCTCTTTACAGCATCGGACCTTTCTTCCATCACCAGTCACATCCACAACTGGGTTGTTTTTGCTTTGGCTCCATCTCTTCAGTCTCTCTGGAGTTATTTCTCCACTGATCTCCAGTAGCATATTGGGCACCTACTGACCTGGGAGTTCATCTTTCAGTGTCCTATCGTTTTGCCTTTTCATACTGTTCATGGGGTTCTCAAGGCAAGAATACTGAAATGGTTTGCCATTCCCTTCTTCAGTGGACCACATTTTGTCAGAACTGTCCTCCATGACCCATCTGTCTTGGGTGGCCCTACACGGCTTGGCTCATAGTTTCATTTTTTTCTTCATGTATTTTTAAATATATTAAATAGTATAGCTGGAGATCCAGCCTTTAAAGTTGATTGTTTTGGCTCATCCATGGAGAATGGTTCATAATGAAAGCATAGAGACACCAGGAGGGTTTGCAGTAGCCTAGTAGGGAAGGGATTGTGGTGGGCTCAGGTGGTGGCAGTGAAGAGAGGTAGCCGTTTTGTGATATATTTTGTTAAGCAGAAGCAGCAAGACTTGTTGATGGCAAGAATATAGGAGAAAAAGTACAGAGAGAAATAAAGGATTACGCCTGGATTTATGGCTGTGTTATGAGGGAGTTAGGATTACTAGGAGAGGAGAGGGCTTGCGGGGAGTGTGTGGGACACAGAGCAACAGATTAAGAGTACTATCGTGTATTACCGTTGGTACAAGCTACCCAAGAACTACTCTAGTTCTTTAAACATCTTGCTATTCTCATCATCACTAAATAGAGAACTTTAGGATTTCTTTTTAAAATTAATCAGTACCCTAAGTAAGCAGCCAAACCAACTCTGATTGTTTTTACAGTATTTAAAATTTACCAGGAATAAACGAGACCCACTATAGGAATGTATTATCTGCCTGCCTCCCCACTGGTACTGCCTCAATCATTCTAGACAAATGTTGAGGACACTCAAGGAAAGGAAAAATAGTGTTAGTTCAATATTGATGCGTTATATATATATTTTTGATAGAGAATGTATTTCTGCAAGCTACAGCCTCCCCTACTTGGGTTGCTTCTCCTAGGAGCAATTACATGTGTAAATATAATGTAGGCAACCTTTCCATGAACATTGAAAGAAATGATAAGGGTCATATTTATTTTATAATTAGTTTTTCAAGACATACCTAAAGTTCCTCTTTTATAAAATTCTCCTCAATAAAATGTAGTGTGATTCATCATACTTAACTTTTAATGAAACAAATTTCTTTCTATAATCTGTTCTTTAATTTTAAACAAATCACTCTAAAACTCCTCTGTTTTATTGTAAAAATTCAAACTTCAAATGCCTTCTGCATTTTGTGTTGTACATAGGACATTCCGTCTTGAAAGCTCTTGTCCTCAAACTGGTGGTTTATGAAGTGGGCTGTGAGAGTCTCCTGACCAATGACTTGGAGACTTGGAGGTCTGTTCTTCCTACAGGACTAGGAACCAAGTGGTCCTGTTGGTTTCTGTAGCTTCGGGGAAGACTCCTACCTCTCATCACTACCCCATATTCTAATCAAAATAGAGTGTCAGTTTTTAAACACACATGTAATTATCCATGTCCATAAATTACTTGTATTCAAAATATATAAATAACTAAAAACTCAACAATAAGAAAAACAACTAAATTTTTTTAAATGTCAGAAAATTCAAATGTTTCACCAATGAAGAAATACAAATGGCAAACAAACATGTAAGAAGATACTCTACATTAGTCGTTAAAAACATGTAAATTTAAAAGTAAAAAAAACTTTGCTTCTATATACCTATTGGAATTGTTTTTTAAAAAGTTGGCAATATCCAGAACTTGTGAAGACACAGAACTGAAACTCTTGTATACTGTTATACACTGTTCCCCACTTTTAAACTGGTACACTTTATTAGATTAATTTTTATTTTTTATTAACTTCTGATATAGCATATATTTCAATTTCTTAATTTATTATAAGGTTAGGATATATTTATTTTTCATTTTTAATTGTTTTCTTTCTAATTTTACAAGTGATACATGTTCATTTTAGACAACTAGAAATACATAAAAGGATAAAGTAAAAAATAACAATCACCCATAATCCCCACCCTTCAGAGGCAATGACCATGAGCATTTGATGCATTTACTCTCAGTGTCCACATATAATACATTTTTAATAATTCAAGTATAATTGACCTACAACACTGTTAGTTTCTGTTGCACAACATAGTGATTGGATATTTCTTTACACTATAGAATCATCATGATGAAAAGTCTAGTTACCGTGTGTCACCATACACAGGTATTATAATATAATTGATTAAATTCTTCATATTGTACATTTCATCTCCATGACTCATTTATTTTATAATTGGAAGTTCATACCTCTTAATCTCTCTTTACCTGTTTCATTTATACCCCACCCATTTCCCCTCTGGCAACCACCTATTTGTTCTCAGCATCTGTAACTCTGTTTCTGTTGAATTATGTTAGTTCATTTGTTTTGTTTTCTAGATTCCACACATAGCTGCAGTCATA